CACCCTTGATTCCCCTTCATCTCCCCATTCCAAAACCCCAAACTATCTCCCTCGAATCCTACCAAAAATCTTCGAATCTTGGATTGAATAGGGCGACCGAAACCCTAAATCGTCCAATCGGGTCCAAAATCACACCAGACAACCACCTCCCCCTCCTCATCTTGAATCCCCACCCCGTTTGCTTCCAATCCTCCTAGAGTTTCTCAAATTTTAGATCAAAGATTCAAGCCTAAGTCCCAAAATCAGAGTAGCAGGGTCTCGAGATTTTGAGTTTGAAATCGACTTTAATCATGTGTTTTCAGTCGAGAACACATGGTTAAAGTCTATCTCGGCCAAAAATCAGAGGTTCGTTTGAAGATTACAAGATCTGTGTCCGTTCGGTTTGGCAGGTTTTCCTAGTATTTTCTCTATCCCAATTTTTTTTTATCTTTTCCTACTTTTCTTCTTCTTCTTTTTATTGTATGTGTTTCTTTTTAAATCAGGAATAGTGGTTAGTTATTAGCTTCTTTAGTTTTGTTTGAATCCGTTAAGTTTAGCTTGTTTGATTGTTCCCGTTAGTCTTGGGCCGATTAATAGCATTTGGTTCGAAAGGCTGAATGAAATCTTAATTGTCTTTCATCTTTCTACTTTCTAGTCTCTTCTGAACTTCTCACAAACCTAGGTCCAAAAGAAGGGAATAGCCCGGGATTTTCGAAGGCCCATATCTGGTTCACCTTAGGTCATCATTGACCCATACCCATTGGGTCAAAAGGGTAAATAACAGGGGCATGAGGGTTAGTTTAGGTATTTGGTTGAGGGAATCTCCCTGATAGCAGAAATAAGAAGCTTCTAGTGGGGGTTTCTAATGGATTTTCAGATTTTAGGTGTTTGAACTTGGGGAGAAAGTCAGAAAATGAGGGTTCGATGGGCAAAAAATAAAGTTAAAGGAAGGACTAGAAATGAAAACTGAAACCTGGGGTCTGCCCTAGTGACTTGCCTATAAAGGCATTCTTACTTGTCTTAGAAGGCAAGGATTTCCTTCGCGTGACATGATTACAATTCTAAAAACCAATTCGGAGAATGTGTTCGCACAACTTCGAACAAACCTTCTTAATAATAAAATGGGTTTTCGTAGGCTATTAATTAAATTAGCTCATATAGTCCGAGGTGTGCCATCTACCATTTAATCAAACAAAATGTCGAATGTTCGTAGTTTGCTTTAGGCACGCCAACTTTGGCCAAACTTTTATTTTTTTATAATAATAAAGCGTTATTAATTGTGGACATGTTCGCGTGACATATTTTTGACGCGCCAACAAATGGGTACACGTACGCGCAACCCGTTTCAAGATAATTTTCTTAATTAAAAAGCGATAAAGGGTAAATGCACATAGGATCTAAAGTCAGTAATTAGCCACTTTAATAAGCCAAGTATGATCAAAGCGACCGTGCTAGAACCACGGAACTCGGGAATGCTTAACACCTTCTCCCGGGTTAACAGAATTCCTTACCCGGATTTCTGTGTTCGCAGACCGTGAATAGAGTCAACTTTCCTCGATTCGGGATTTTAAACCGGTGACTTGGGATACCATAAATTATCCCAAGTGGCAATTCTGAATCTTTAAATAAACAAATCTCGTTTCGATTGTCCTTTAATTGGAAAAATTCTCGTATACTTATACCCTTTACAGGGTGTAGTGAAAAAGGAGGTATGACACCTAGGTCTGTTACAACCATTGCCTATTCCAGATGTGGTGTGGTCACATATTAGCATAGAATTTATTAATAGATTACCTAAGTCAAAAGGGTGTGAAGTAATAATCTTGGTGGTAATTGATAGGTTGAGCAAGTATGGCTTTTTTATTTCATTAAAACACCCCTACACTACTCAATCTGTTGCCAAGGTTTTCCTATACACAGTGGTAAAGCTACATGGGATGCCTGATGTCATCACTAGTGACAAAGATGTTGTTTTCTTGAGTTCTTTCTGGCAAGAACTCTTCACTCTAGAAAGGGTACAATTGCCCACTTCTTCAGCATATCATCCTCAGTCTAATGGGCAAACTGAGGTGCCGAACATGAGCCTTAAAACATACTTAAGGTGCTACTGCAATGAGGATGCTACTAATTAGTATTCATGTTTGTCTATGGTTGAGTACTGGTACAACACTTCTTTCCACTCATTTATACAAACTACTCCCTATGAGGCATTGTATGGTAGACCCCTACCAATGCATTTGGCCTATCTTCCAGGGGAATCAACTTCTGCTGAAGTCGACAACACACTAGTCAATAGGGAATTGAAAATCCAGCTGCTCAAACATCATTTGAGAAGGGCACAACTCAGAATGAAACAACAGACAGACTCTCATAGAAGTGACAGACAATTTGCAGCGGGAGACTAGGTTTATTTGAAGGTTCAGCCCTACAAACAAGTAACAATTTCACATCATTCATCTCACAAGCTGGCTGCCAAGTATTATGGACCCTTTCAGATCATCAAAAGGGTTGGTCCACTTGCCTATACTCTTTTGTTTCCTAATAGTGTAAGGATTCACCCCACAGTTTATGTTTCCTTGTTAAAAAAATGTTATGAAGTTCCCTCCCAAATTTCATATCTTCCTGTCATTGACTTAGCAAGTCCTTATTGCCCTGACCCTGAGCTTGTTTTACAAAGAAGAATGGTCAAAGAGGCAATAAGGCTGTGGCACAACTTCTAATTAAATGGCATGGACTGCCTGCTGATGTAGTACATGGGAGCTGGTTACTGTATTGCAGACAAGGTTTCCCTCATTGGATCCTTGTGGACAAGGATCTTCTATTAGAGGGGAGCATCGATACACGATTATTAGAAAGGGAATGGAGTTCAGAAAAAGAAGCAAATAATTTAGTTGTAACGGTTAGTTAGGAATTCAAAAAGTAGTTACAGTTAGTTGAAGTTTGTTACAATAACCAACTTCTGTCAACTGAAGGAATCTGTTAGAAAAGCTCTTGATTTTTCATTCAATATAATAGATATAAATACAATGTATTACACAAATTAGATGCATGAATAATAATACAATTCCCATTCTACTCCTCCTCTCTTCTTCTTACTCTCTTCTTCTTCCTTCTTCTTTGCACTTTTCTTTACAGTTGACTTCTCGAAATTCTTCTTGAATCAACTCTGCGATCCTCGAGTTTAGTGAGCTCCTGCAATCACGTAACAGTCTTGCTATAAAAAAGCTTTGGTGGAGGACCATTTTAAAAAACAACAACAACAACCCAGTAAAATCCCACAAGTGGGGTCTGGGGAGGGTAGTGTGTACGCAAACCTTACCCCTACTCCGAAAGGGGTAGAGATGTTGTTTCTGAAAGACCCTCGGCTCAAGATAATAAAAAGAAGACAAAAGGAGAGGATATTAGATTCATCACGGAGATCATAGGAAAAATAGGAATATAAAATGCAGAAGAAAAATGCAAAGCAAAAACGGTGGCTAGTAAATGGATCCAACGTCGAAAAATAAAATAGTAAGACAAGACATTGCCCCTAGCTCTCTTAGACAAAACCCTACCGGACTAGTCTCACAAAGGTACAAAGTAACATAAGACTCAACTACCTCCTAGCCTATAACCGTAATACTCGACCTCCACAATGTCCTATCAAGTGTCATGTCCTCGGAAATCTGAAGTCTCACCATATCCTGCCTGATCACCTCTCCCCAATACTTCTTAGGCCGCCCTCTACCTCTTATCGTGCCTTCCACAACCAGCCGCTCACACCTCCTTACTGGAGCATCTGGGCTTCTCCTTTGTACATGCCTGAACCATCCGAGCCTCGCTTCCCGCATCTTGTCCTCAATGGGAGCCACGTGCATCTTCTCCCGAATATCATCATTCCAAATCTTATCCATCATAGTGTGCCCGCACATCCACCTTAACATCTTTATTTTTGCTACTTTCATCTTTTGGATATGTAAGTTCTTAACAAGCCAACACTCAGCCATATACATCATGGCCGGTCTAACCACTGCTTTGTAGAACTTACCTTTAAGTATCGTTGGCACTCTCTTGTCACACAAGGCTCCAGATGTTAACATCCATTTCATCCATCCTACCCCAATACGGTGTGTGACATCCTCGTCGATCTCCCCTCCCCCGTGGATAACCGAATCAAGGTACTTGAAGTTGCCTCTACTTGGGATAACCTGTGACTCAAGCCTCACATTGACGTCCACTTCCCCCGGCTCATCGCTGAACTTACACTCGAGGTATTCTGTCTTCGTTCTGCTTAGCTTGAAACCCTTAGACTCAAGAGTTTGTCTCCAAACTTCCAATCTCTCGTTAACACCGGCTCGTGAATCATCAATCAGAACTATGTCATCGGCGAATAGCATACACCATGGCACCTCCCCTTGAATATGGTTTGTTATCGTATCCATCATCAGGGCAAATAAGAATGGACTGAGCGTAGAGCCTTGGTGTAGCCCCATTTCAATCGGAAATGCTCAGAGTCACCTCCTACTGTCCTAACCCGAGTCTTAGCCCCATCATACATGTCCTTAATTGCCATAATATAAGGAACCGACACACCTTTTGCCTCCAAGCATCTCCAGAGAACTTCTCCAGGAACCTTGTCATACGTTTTCTCTAGGTCAATAAACACCATGTGCAGATCCTTCTTTCTCTCTCTGTACAGTTCTACCAACCTCCTAACAAGGTGTATAGCTTCTGTGGTGGAACGACCCGGCATGAACCCGAACTAGTTGTCGGATACAGACGTTGTCATCCTCACCCTCGTTTCAACCACCCTCTCTCATACTTTCATGGTATGATTCAGTAATTTGATACCCCTATAATTATTACTACTCTGAATATCACCTTTTTTCTTATACAATGGAACCATTGTACTCCACCTCCACTCACCGTACTCTGAAATTTTTCTTTTTGTAATTCAAGCCCAATTTTCCCGTTGAAGTACAAAAACTATTGAAAACATTATTTAAGAGAATAATCTAAATTAGTAAACCCTCTTACTGTTCCCGCCTGTTGTCTGTCATCTTTATCATCATTTAGCACGATAAGTTTGGAAGATTTTGGCTTTCCCGCCTTTTAGTATTTGTTACTACCACTACTATTGGGAAAAAATTCATACCTTTTTCTCGTACCAAAATTTTTAAATGCTATCAATTATTGCGAGATGGTCGGCTCGCAAGGGCAAAATCACCTCTGCTCTTAATTCGACTGAACACTTAAATGATTCATTCCCTTGTATTAGACACATTATTATTCAACTTCATCACTATCATCAACACTCATTTTCACAAAATCCAACTCAACATTACGCCTATCTTCTCCAATCTTGCATCGCTCGGAAAGCAGTTGAGCCTGGAAAACAGCTCCACGCGCATCTCTGCCTCACGGGTTTAGGCTACAACATTAATTTGGCAACGAAGTTGGTCAATCTATATTGTGTTTGTGATAAATTGTCGAATGCCCATCACCTGTTTGATAGAATTCCTAAAGGAAATATTTTTCTTTGGAATGTTTTGATTCGTGGGTATGCTTGGAATGGACCTTACCAGGCTGCAATTTCTTTGTATTATCAAATGCTTGATTATGGGCTTGTTCCTGATAATTTTACCTTTCCGTTTGTGTTAAAAGCGTGCTCGGCCTTGACGGCGATTGATGTGGGGAGGGATATTCATGAACACGCGAAAAGAACGAAGTGGCATAAGGATGTTTTCGTGGGTGCCTCCCTTATCGACATGTATGCTAAGTGTGGTTGTGTTGGTAGGTCGAGGCTGGTGTTTGACAATGTTGCGGAGAGGGATGTAGTTGTTTGGAATTCAATGCTTGCTTCTTACTCACAAAATGGTCACCCTGAGGATTGTTTGTCTTTATGTGGTGAAATGGCATGTGAAGGTGTTAGACCTACGGAGGCGACCTTAGTGACTGCTATTTCTGCTTCTGCTGATGTGGCGGCCCTTCGACAGGGAAGGGAGCTTCATGGGTATAGTTGGAGACAGGGTTTTGACTCTCTGGACAAAGTGAAGACAGCACTCGTGGATATGTATGCCAAGAGTGGGTCCGTGAATGTTGCTAGGATCTTGTTCGAAGCACTCGAGGAGAAAAGAGTTGTTTCTTGGAATGCAATGATCACAGGATATGCAATGCATGGTCATGCTAATGCAGCACTTATTTTGTTTAATCAGATGGTTGGTAAGGCTCAGCCGGATCATATAACTTTTGTTGGGGTTTTATCTGCTTGTAACCATGGAGGTTTGTTGAATGAAGGGAGAATGTATTTTGATTCAATGGTAAAAGATTACGGAATTGAACCAACCATTCAGCACATTACATGCATGGTTGATCTCTTAGGTCATAGTGGTCGCTTAGATGAGGCTTATGGACTTATGATGCAGATGAAAGTTATGCCAGATGCTGGTGTCTGGGGTGCATTGCTTAATTCGTGCAAAATCCATGGTCATGTGGAGTTTGCAGAATTGGCATTGGAGAGGTTAATTGAACTTGAGCCTGATGACGCAGGAAATTACGTGATTCTGTCAAACATTTATGCCCAAGCAGGTAGATGGGAAGGTGTTGCAAAGCTTAGAGAACTAATGAATGAAAGAGGTGTAAAGAAAACCATCGCGTACAGTTGGATTGAAGTTAAAAACAAAGTACATGCATTTCTCTCGGGGGATACCTCTCATCCTATGTCTGATGAGATTTATGCAGAGCTAGACAGCTTGAAAGCACGAATGGTACAAGCTGGTTATGTCCCAAACATTACACCTGTTTTCCATGATGTGGAAGATGACGAGAAGAGCAGAATGGTCTGCAGC